TATATATATATATATATATATATGGTGGAAGGACCGGTAAAAGGCCAAACTAGGAGTCATTCCATGGCCTGGTTTATCTGGTTGGCTAGGAATATCAAAAAAATTTAAGTCACCATTTCTGAGCAGTAGGTGGCCATTAACTTCAAGGCTTTTCAGTCCATAAATATTTAGCAAAAGTAGTTTCCTAATATCTATAGAGTTCGGACTTCCAACAGTACAACTGGCCTCTCCATTTCTCAGATCTCCTGAAGGAAACCCATTTACCCATGGATCAAAGAAAATACTGATGGTAGTTTCTTTGTTGTTGATGCAGAAGTAGGTGGAGTTTTTAGAGACTAAAAAGGCAGTTGTTTGCTCTTTTTTCAGTCTCCTGCCTTAGTGAATGATGCTTTGGAGGCTGAAGCAGTTGTTATGCTCTGGGCTATTAAACTTGCTATTTAAAGAAGTGTACCCATCTACTTGTTGAAATGGGCTCTTTGACACTGGTGCAAATCTTGGTGAGTAGTGAGAGTCCTCCCTGGCATATCTTACACTGGGTGAGGGCCATCAATTCCAGCAGATCCCAACTACATCTTCAGTTCATCTTTATACAAAGGGAAGGCTAACTGGCTTGCTAGAGCAGACAGGGCCAAAGGTTGTGTGTGTGTAACTCTTCTCCCCCTTCCTCCCTTTCTTTTCTTTTGCATGGGGACTTGTTAGATGTTCCCCACATTAGAGTTGTAACTCCAATTTTGATCAATAGATTCACACATTTTGGTTTTATATATATATATATATATATATATTAAAAGAATGTTTGATGGCTATGAGACGAGCCCCAGTCATCCCTTGGAGTGATAAATATTTGAGTACCACACCCTACACATGGGGGGGATTCAAACACGTGACTTGAGGGGACTTGTGACCTTCAGAGAGGTTTCTCTTCTTCTTGTTGGCTTCGGTCACGTGGCTCTACTCAAACCAATGAAAGCGTCTCCTTCCTCTTCTTCCTTTGCACGCAAAGTTTTGCCTTCGGTCGCGGCTTCCTACGCACGCAAAGGCGGCACGACTTCTTCCCTTCTCCTTCGATTTTTCTCACTCACAGATAAGTCCCAACCCGACCTACGTTTTTCTTCTTCTCCTTTGACTTCATCAACTAGGGCACAATAGAGATTCCCTCTCTCGATCTTTCTGTTGCTCTTCTCACTTGCTCGTCTGTTTTGAATGAGGGGAAGTGCGAATGATAATTTATTATGATTCCTCACAGTGCAATTTCTTTAATGGCAAGCACATTATTTTTTTATTTTTTTATTTAATTCATTTATATTACTACAATTTCACGCTCTTATAAAAATTTCATCATTGAAATTTGAAAATAATCACGAAAGAAAACATACTGTTGACCTCAATTTTCGTGAGGTCTAGTATTTCTCGTAGGAGTTAGGATCTAGCCTTAGGGGTCTTCCTGCGACTATCTTAGAATCTTAGAAGTGGTGCCCGCCTCGTTTTGGTTCGACCTATTTTCGTCCTCTTTTGGAGTTTCGCGTGTGCGGTGTCGACTTCTAACACTTAGAAGGATGAAACCGACATGAGGAAACCCAAAATGGATTCCTATAGGACCTTTCCGAGCCTTAGGGTGGCCTTCTGCACAATTCGCACTCCTGCGCGCACCAGCTTCGCAATTCGGAGAGTCGACGTGTCCGATCTCCGCAATTCACATTGCCTCCGCTGTTACTTGTCGAATGCTCGAGT